ATCCATCCATCCATCCATCCATCCATCCATCCATCCATCCATCCATCCATCCATCCACCAATCTGTCCATCCATCCATCTATTCATTCATCCATCCATCCACCAATCTGTCCATCCATTCATCCATCCGTCCATCCATCCATAAATTCGTTCATCCGTCCATCCATCCATCCATCCATCCATCCATCCATCCATCCATCCATCCATCAATTCATCCATCCATCCATCCATCCATCCATCCATTCGTCCATTTGTACATCCATCCATCCATCCACCAATCTGTCCATCCAGCCATCCACCAATCTGTCCATCCATCCATCCTGTACCTCCAACCATCATAAAGGTCCATGTTTGTGTGTTTCAGGCTGACAGTCCAGAGGACATGCACAGCTGGATCAAGGCGGTCTCTGGTGCGATCGTGGCTCAACGTGGCCTCGGCCGTTCGTCCAACACGGTGAGTTCCTCAGCAGCTGGACTGTAGGCAGGCCTGAGGTGGAAAAGACAATAATTCATCTACGTTTGTGCTGATGTGCTTTTATAATCCAGTGAAGTGGCACCATCTTGTGGAAGGAATAACTGAAGATGCTTCAACTTCTGAGGCCGTTTTTAAATTTTATTTTAAATGCTTATGTTTTACAGATTTTGCATGTTTCATCTGTGTCCTTATAATAATAATAATAATAATCATCATTTTCTGTGGTTTTATGTTGATTGTTCCATTTTTGTCTTTGTTTGTTGGTTGTACACACACACAAAGTTCCCAGTGTCTCTGTTCCCAAAGAGCTCCTTTCCTAAAGAAAAGTGCACATTTCTGCCTCAAACTGTGGACTGAGCTGCCTTTTTTTTTTTTTTCAGAAAAAAAGCACAAAATATTTAAATCTTTTACTTCATGTTTTCCAGGCAGCAGAAACTACAGATTTGATCCAACTCCAAATTATTTAATCCTAACGAACCCGTTAAACATCAGAAATCTTTGTGTCTTATTTGTCAGGACCTCCAGATGAGGCGGGTGGCGCCCCCTGCTGGTGGGTGGATGTGTTTTAAAGGAGCTCTTTATCTCTGTAACTGAGCTGTAAACTGTTGTTTTATAGATCCGTCAGGCCCGCCGGCTGTCCACCCCGTGTATACAGAGGTATACGCCGTTCTGCAGCACGTATGTGACACCCCCGAGCCCCTTTAACTCCGCCCCCTCCCATCCTCACCACCACCCTGCTTCTCCTCACTGAACACTGACCCCCCTCTGAGCTCTCCGTTTGATTCCTGAGCTTTAGTTTCAACAGTTGGTTCTAAAACAGACGTCTGAGCTGCTAATAAACCAGACTTTTACGTTTCTTTTTATAAAAACTTATTTGTTGCTCATGATTTTCTAAATTTTGTCTTAGAGGGAAAAACTGGACCTGTTTTTACTGGAACCAGGAACAGATCTGATGAGCCAAATCAGGAAATGAAAGTCACAGATCTCTAASTCTGTGTTTTTATTATTATTATTATTTTTAAATCTGCTGACGGTGACTGTAGGTGTAGGCGGTTCTGCTTCGACCCAGTCTTTATAAAGCATCATTTCTTTCTGTTCCACCGTCCGTTCAACAGAATAACTCATGGATTTTTATTCTTCTCCATCCATCCCGGCAGCCCTGGTCCTCCTCAGTACCTGTCAATCATCTCTGTACTTCCTGTTCCTGTGTTTGCTTCAATAACATTCTTGACCCACAGCTGGACTTCACAGAACCGAACTCACCCTGATCCGTTTCTTTCTGCTTAATCCCTCTCACATGTCTCTTTCTCGTGTGTGTGTGTGTGTGTGTGTGTGTGTGTGTGTGTGTGTGCGTGCGCGCGCGTGCGTTACAGAGAGTGAGGTGTGACAGTGACCCAATATCCTTCCCCAAATGAGCCCCACCTCCTGCTTCCTGCCCCTCCCACTGCTGCTCATCGTCCAATCACCAAGCCCCGCTGCTTCCCTAGCAACCGCCGCTTCCTGCCCTGCTCCCTGGCGACCGCAGCATCACTCCTCCGTACGTCAAACTGCACGAGTGTTAAAACCTGGGAGTGTTTGGTGTCTGTGTGAGCCGTTGTCCCAGCTGCTTCAGTCCAACGAGTCGATTCTGGCACAGAAGAGTTCAGTCAGTTAGATTTACGCCCTCAGAGTACGTGATGGAGATGACTCTCRGCTACGACCACACCAGCAGCTCAGTATCAGTAAAACTGACTGAGGTTCAGCTGTTTCTGTTTGATCAGGTTGATCAACTGTGGCGGCCATCTTGAGGCGATTATGAAAGAAAAACTCGTGGACGTTTCATGATGTTTTATAAACTGATCCTGAATTCTGTTTGTCACCAGCAGCCGTCGCTCAGCGAGGCTCTGTCTTTACAGAGAGACAGACTGAACAGATGTTTGCAGCTGTTCTACATTTACAGCAACAGATGACGTGTCGCACAGCCTGAATGCTCTTATGTTAGCTGTGAATCAGCCATTTGCAGGGTTTAATCTGAGCCGTTTGCAGGGTTTAATCTGAGCCGTTTGCAGGGTTTAATCTGAGCTGTTTGTTGGGTTTAATCTCAGCCATATGTTGGGTTTAATCTGAGCCATTTGTTGGGTTTAATCTGAGCCATTTGTTTGGTTTAATCTGAGCCGTTTGTTGGGATTAATCTGAGCCGTTTGTAGGATTTAATCTGAGCCGTTTGTAGGATTTAATCTGAGCCGTTTGATGGGTTTGAGCTGAGCTGTTTGTTGGGTTTAATCTGAGTCATTTGTTGGGTTTAGTCTGAGCTGTTTGTTGGGTTTAATCTGAGCCATTTGTTGGGTTTAATCTGAGCCATTTGTTGGGTTTAATCTGAGCCGTTTGTTGGGTTTAATCTGGGCCGTTGTTTGGGTTTAATCTGAGCTGTTTGTTGGGTTTAATCTGAGCCATGTGTTGGGTTTAATCTGAGCCATGTGTTGGGTTTAATCTGAGCCATGTGTTGGGTTTAATCTGAGCCATGTGTTGGGTTTAATCTGAGCCATTTGTTGGGTTTGATCTGGGCCGTTTGTTGGGTTTAATCTGAGCTTTTTGTTGGGTTTAATCTGAGCCGTTTGTTGGGTTTAATCTGAGCCGTTTGTTGGGTTTAATCTGAGCCGTTTGTTGGGTTTAATCTGAGCCGTTTGTTGGGTTTAATCTGGGCCATTTGTTGGGATTAATCTGAGCCGTTTGATGGGTTTGAGCTGAGCTGTTTGTGAGCCGTTTGTTGGGTTTAATCTGAGCCTTTTGTTGGGTTCAATCTGAGCTGTTTGTAGGGTTTAATCTAAGATGTTTGTTGGGTTCAATCTGAGCTGTTTGTTGGGTTTAATCTGAGCTGTTTGTAAGGTTTGATCTGAGGTGTTTGTAGGGTTTAATCTGAAGTGTTTGTTGGGTTTAATCATAGCCATTTGTAGGGTTTAGTCTGAAATGTTTGTTGGGTTTAATCTAAGATGTTTGTTGGGTTTAATCTGAGCCATTTGTAGGGTTTAATGTAAGCCGTTTGTAGGGTTTAATCTAAGCTGTTTGTTGGGTTTAATCTGAGACATTTGTTGGGTTTAATCTGAGGTGTTTGTTGGGTTTAATTTGAGCTGTTTATTGGGTGTAATCTGAGGCGTTTGTTGGGTTTAATCTGAGGCTTTTATTGGGTGTAATCTAAGGCGTTTGTTGGGTGTAATCTGAGCTGTTTGTTGGGTGTAATCTGAGATGTTTATTGGGTTCAATCTGAGCTGTTTGAGTGTAATCTGAGCTGTTTGTTGAGTGTAATCTGAGCTGGTTGTTGGGTTTAATCTGAGCTGGTTGTTGGGTTTAATATGAGCTGTTTGTTGGATGTAATCTGAGCCATGTGATGGGTTTAATCTAAAATTTTTGTTAGGTTTAATCTGAGCCAATTGTTGTCAGCCTCTTTATTGTCTTCTTTATCATCAGCAAACTAATATCAGGTAATAATTCTAACTTGAAAATCTTGGAATGTTATTTTTTTAATCTGAACCAGTGAGACCCACAGATTATGGATCTCAGTAAAGAGTTGGATCAGGTCCTCTAGGATTCTTTTTGATACGTCTGATGGTGAGAAAACAGGAGGGTCTTTAGGGTCTCCAGGTTTCTACACAGTCCTGACGGTCAAGAGTCTTCTCGGGGTCCAGAAATAATCCCTGGATTAGAAGTATTTGGTCTCAGGTTCTGTTTTAGGTCAGGGATGTTTGCTGATAATAAAAGAACTTTAAATCTTTCTAAATCTAAACTGATTCATGACTCATCCTTCATCACCCCCACGCTCCTCCTCTTCCTCACTTCTTCTTCTTCTCTTTTCGTCTCCAGGAGCGCAGTGACTCCTCCTCCCCCTCCTCCACCTTCTACTGCCCCGTCGATGAGGACCCGCAGCCTCCAGAACCCTCAGCGGGCGCTCAGCCTGGCGCTGGACCCTCGCCGCCACCAGGACGACTTCCTGGGCCTCCTGCCGTGGAGGCTGAGCGGCGTCCAGGCCGTCATGATGCCCCTCCCACCGCCGCGCTCCCGCCTGTCGCTGCAGGAGGCGGTGCAGTCGTCAAAGTGACGGAGGGGCGGAACCCTGGCCTGCTGGTTACCCTCGTCTGAGATTCTGGATCGTCCAGAACCTCCGGGTTTTCTCAGACAGGAAGTCGTCCTGAAACCGAGCTGAGCAGAACTCTGGTTCTTACAGTCCATCCTGCTTCACCTCAGAACTTTTTAAATCCTGCCTTTGTCTCGTCCTGACAGCACCGAGGTCCAGATCCACAGCAGAACTCCTAATCCAGACGGTTCCTACAGATTCTCACCTCGTCATAATCCAAACGGGATTAGATCTGACAAAAGTTGCCAAAAAATACTCTAATGCTTTCAGCTCCGGATCGTCCTGGTCCTCGGATCGTCCTGGTCTTTGGATCGTCCTGGTCTTAGGATCATCCTGGTCCTCAGATCGTCCTGGTCTTTGGATCATCCTGGTCCTCAGATCGTCCTGGTCTTTGGATCGTCCTGGTCCTCAGATCGTCCTGGTCTTCGGGTCGTCCTGGTCCTCAGATCGTCCAGGCATTCAGATCGTCCTGGTCCTCGGATCGTCCTGGTCCTCGGATCGTCCCGGTCCTCAGATCGTCCCGGTCCTCAGATCGTCCTGGTCTTCGGATCGTCCCGGTCCTCGGATCGTCCAGGTCCTCGGATCGTCCAGGTCCTCGGATCGTCCAGGTCCTCGGATCGTCCAGGTCCTCGGATCGTCCCGGTCCTCGGATCGTCCAGGTC